ATATATATGGTATAAAAACATGAAAAAGAAAAAAGGAAAAAGTGATAGTGTGTCCCAAATACATGCGAAGGATCTGGGCAGTAACTACACAGAGGAAGCCCTAAGTTTCCCAGGTACCAATCACTTCCTTAACTACTCACTTCAATACAGAAATCCACACACAGTAACACTTCCTAACAAGGAAGTCTTATCCCACGTATTTGAATGCTTTCTTTTTTTAGTTATTATAGCTGACCTAGCATGGTCGGCTATAAAATGTACAATACAGAAAGTTGCCTGGTAAAACAATCTTGCCATCTAGAAAATAATGTATTAAGTATACATGTTAGCCCAAATTTTTACCAGCTTAATGCTTAAACATCAATATATTTTGACAAAACTAACTAGAAAGACTAAATCAAAGATGGAATAGTTATAAGGTAGTTATTATTTAAGACAGAGGACCTAATAATGCCCTATGATACAGCACTATCTGGAAATACAAAGATACCTACTCTATATCCACAACAGACAACTGAGAAAATATGCTATTAACAGAGACAAGGCTATGACTAACTCAGGACAAACCAGAGATCAAAGCACAGAACATGGCTCACCTAAGTGCCATCTCCCAAACCAACTCCCACACTTACCACTCAGGAAATGTAAACGGCCATGGTGGCACACACTGCTACTCAAGACGCTGCTACTCAAGATGCTAAGGCTACACAGAAGGCCTGGTTTCGACACCCTGCCTACCTAACACAAGTCAGGCACCTTGGTCCTAGCTAAGAGGGAGGATGGGGCAAAGGAGTACTGCAACATGGCAAGACCCTGTAAAAACAAAACAAAACCAAACCTCTCTCTCATAAAATGTGCTTATGTCTAATTTTAAAAATACAGAAAAAAATTGCAAAAAAAAAAAGAGTAATCATCAAATAAATTGGACTGGTCAAGTGGGTTTTTTAGCTTGAATTTAACACTTTTGGGTGCAATAAACTGGAAAAAAAAAATCGTACCATAACTCTTGAAAAGTTCTGGCTGTTTGAGAGGCAATTCAAATGGCAAGACCCTGTAAAAACAAAACAAAACCAAACCTCTCTCTCATAAAATGTGCTTATGTCTAATTTTAAAAATACAGAAAAAAATTGCAAAAAAAAAAGAGTAATCATCAAATAAATTGGACTGGTCAAGTGGGTTTTTTAGCTTGAATTTAACACTTTTGGGTGCAATAAACTGGAAAAAAAAAATCGTACCATAACTCTTGAAAAGTTCTGGCTGTTTGAGAGGCAATTCAATTAGTTCTCTAATTGCTTTCAGCTGGCTACTTAAGCCTCCTATCATGTCATAAGTTACTTTGAATTGGCTGTCTTGCTCTTTTGAATTTGTTTGACTCTTTATAAAATTGACTCTTGTTGTTGAAGAAAGAAAATAAAAAGTATCAGAATTGCATTTTGCTCCTGTGCAGGCAGGTTTTATCAGTTTCTCTTCATTGGTGAGTTCCTTATTTCCTTCTCTGGCAGACTCAAAACTGCACTTAAGATCTCTGAGTTCCTTTAGCCTAAGTCCACTGCCATCCCCAGGGCTCTGTGTAACATCGAACAAAGGATCAACAGCTTTGTTTGTAATCTTGTCCTCTGGTTTACAAGGAGTACTTCTTGATGCTGGGTTCCGGGGCTCTTCCAGATCTAACTGGCTTAGCTGTAAGGATATATCCAGGCTACTGGTTTCCAGGCTGGGCCACTCGGAGGCCATCCCCTGAGCACTAGCTGCAGAGTCACTCTGCGGCTTTCCCAGTATCATGCCATCTGCCCCTTTGACTTGCAGCACCTGGAGCTTGCATGGTCGTCCATAAAATGTACAATACAGAAAGTTGCCTGGTAAAACAATCTTGCCATCTAGAAAATAATGTATTAAGTATACATGTTAGCCCAAATTTTTACCAGCTTAATGCTTAAACATCAATATATTTTGACAAAACTAACTAAAAAGAGTAAATCAAAGATGGAATAGTTATATAAGGTAGTTATCATTTAAGACGGAGGACCTAATAATGCCCTATGATACAGCACTATCTGGAAATACAAAGACAAGGTGATTCTTTGAAATCCCCTAAACTAAATAGATTTAAGATTCTATTGACCTTGACAAATAGCTAGGCACACCACATTTGATAGTAAACTAAAATGGCACCTAAACTAAGACTCCAATAAACTGATTCTCACTAGAACAAGCAAGAATATAAGAGTTAAAAAGCCTCAGTTCTACTACTGAATTCATCCACACACAAATCACACATTCTCTCCACTGCTCAACTGTCCATCAACTGACAGGAAAAAGTTATACCTCTCTATCTCAAAAGGCTACGAATTCATTATGGAGACTATTCTCTAAGCTATTTTGAAGAAAACAACTTCAAAAACTATGCATAGAAGACCTCAAAGACACTTTATTTGCTGCTGCCTTATTGCTCAAAATTCAAGAAAACAATTAAAAATACACGCCTTACCTAGTTTTCTCAAAATACAACCAGTCAGTTCTTTTTCATTAATTTCCATATCTTTGTCACTGTAAGAGGGAGAAGGGGACAGAAATTAGTATTAATATACCAGAAGCTAAACTGGTATAAAACCACATGTATGTAGTTTTAAATAAACTAATCAAAAGAATTGTTTATACTTGAAAATAAATGAATTTTGCAGTTTTTGAATGATTATATTTTCCAGATACTTCTCACAGCCGTGAAAATACTATTCACAATTTCGTGCCATAGTAGCTGGCCTAAATACATGGTTTTCAAAATACAGGGCACTATCCAACAGTGGGTGATGAAATCATTTCAGAAGACCCCATCTGGGATTTTTTTTTTGCCAGAGGAAACACATGCTGACCAGAGAGGAAAGGGGGAGGCGGGATATGTGTGTGTAGGGGGCATGTGTGTGAGAAAACACTCCCCAAGAAGAATAATCTTGCCACAATCCCTTCTCCTCCACTTCTCCCTTCTTTGAAGACTCTGGGAACACATGCACGCACGTGTTGTGTGTTTCTTAAGCCACCAAGTGGCAAATGCACCTATTCATTAAAATTTTCAGCTCTTATTCAGAGATGACTAGGGCATGGTAATGGTAAGGACAATGCAGTATCAGAAACTCCAGCTCTGGGGACAGGTGGAGAGGGCCTGAATCCCAACTCTGCCACCAATGGTGGGCAGCCTTGGGCAAGGCCATTAATACTCTGAACCTTTTTTTCTCTTTTGTAAATTAAAAAAAAAAAAAGTTAAATCTACCAGAATAAGTTTTAAGAATTTAAGATTAGGGAACCAGCAGTTAGCGTAATGGCTATGTCGCTGGACTCCCACGTAGTCGACCGCGGTTCGCGTCTCAGACCCGGTGGCTTAAATCTCACGCCGGGCACGTGTGCGTGCGTGCCCAAGATCCCGAGAGGAGAATGGAGGAGAAGGGATTGCGGCGTGACCATCCCCCCTGGGGGGTGATTTCTCGCTTTCTGTCTCCATGTCTCTGTCTGTCTGGCGAGCGCACGCGCCCTATAGCAAAAACCTCTCCAAAAAAAAAAAAAAAAAGAATTTAAGATTATAACCTATTCAATAACTATATATGTGTAAGATCTATATACATCAATATATCTTATAGAAATATTTTTACAGATACATGTATTGCATATATATTATACATATATATTTCCCCCTGGAAGCAATGGTTCAGTATTTGCTAATGGTGTACAAGAAAACATTAATGAAACATAACTACCACAAATAACAAGAACTGACTATGTATTCATATAAAAGTGTGTGTGAAAAAATAGAATGAGAGTTCATTAATTCAATATACTATATACAAATTAATGAGAAAATTGTATGAGTACCTATCTCCTTAAAAGCTTAAATTTATTATTTACAAAACTCTGAATCAAGTTATATTTAAATTGCTTTATTAAACTCTGAATTGAAGATATTTCATTGAAGACGTGTAAAAACAGCAACACTACTCACCAGATTTACTTTTCATTTCCACTAGGAGGAGCTCTAACATTACTAATACAACTTTTTGGTTGTAACTGAAGTAAATCTTTCAACAGACTAAAATGATTAATTTCCTAGTGAGAAATTATCTTACCTGTCTACACTCTGATGCTACATTTAAAACATACGACTTTTTAAAATGTTAAAACTCAAGCTTTCATTGAAAATATATACAGACCTCTAACAGGCAAAAATCATTCACCGAAGACAACTGAGCCATCATAAATGCTAACTGCTCAACTGAGCACCTGGCTTGTGGCACTGCTTCAGACTCAGTCTGAGGACTTACCCTGCTTAAGCTGAGCAGTACTACTAACTTCCCCATAAAATATTAGCCCAAGCTATTTCTCTTCGCTGAGCCCATTTCCTCAGTTGTTAAAAATGCATAAAATATACTTTTACAAGGTGTTAGAGGATTAAATCAGAGAAGGGGTAAATGTGTATTTGTGCTTGTGGACATACATGCATGTATACATATATATAAAACTCATTTCATACACAGGCAGTGCTCAACAAAGTTTTTCTCTTTTCCTTTCTGCTTTCTTATTGTTCATTATAAGGCTATTATATGCTTCAAAACACTTCCCTGTTTTTAAAGGAAAAAATATGCTAAAACTCAAGCTTGGAGTCTACCAAAGTAACAAAACAGAAAAAAATTATTTTATTTTTATTTTTAAAAATTATTTAATTTTATTTACCATTATTAGTTTCCACTTTGACACAGGTGCTCACCAGAGAGAGAGGGAGAAATAGACAGACAGACAGACAGAGAAAGAGAAAGTGAGAAAGCAAGCTGCCGAGAGAGAGAGAGAGAAAGCGAAAGACAGCCGGCAGGCGTAATATACTATATACAAATTAATGAGAAAATTGTATGAGTACCTATCTCCTTAAAAGCTTAAATTTATTATTTACAAAACTCTGAATCAAGTTATATTTAAATTGCTTTATTAAACTCTGAATTGAAGATATTTCATTGAAGACGTGTAAAAACAGCAACACTACTCACCAGATTTACTTTTCATTTCCACTAGGAGGAGCTCTAACATTACTAATACAACTTTTTGGTTGTAACTGAAGTAAATCTTTCAACAGACTAAAATGATTAATTTCCTAGTGAGAAATTATCTTACCTGTCTACACTCTGATGCTACATTTAAAACATACGACTTTTTAAAATGTTAAAACTCAAGCTTTCATTGAAAATATATACAGACCTCTAACAGGCAAAAATCATTCACCGAAGACAACTGAGCCATCATAAATGCTAACTGCTCAACTGAGCACCTGGCTTGTGGCACTGCTTCAGACTCAGTCTGAGGACTTACCCTGCTTAAGCTGAGCAGTACTACTAACTTCCCCATAAAATATTAGCCCAAGCTATTTCTCTTCGCTGAGCCCATTTCCTCAGTTGTTAAAAATGCATAAAATATACTTTTACAAGGTGTTAGAGGATTAAATCAGAGAAGGGGTAAATGTGTATTTGTGCTTGTGGACATACATGCATGTATACATATATATAAAACTCATTTCATACACAGGCAGTGCTCAACAAAGTTTTTCTCTTTTCCTTTCTGCTTTCTTATTGTTCATTATAAGGCTATTATATGCTTCAAAACACTTCCCTGTTTTTAAAGGAAAAAATATGCTAAAACTCAAGCTTGGAGTCTACCAAAGTAACAAAACAGAAAAAAATTATTTTATTTTTATTTTTAAAAATTATTTAATTTTATTTACCATTATTAGTTTCCACTTTGACACAGGTGCTCACCAGAGAGAGAGGGAGAAATAGACAGACAGACAGACAGAGAAAGAGAAAGTGAGAAAGCAAGCTGCCGAGAGAGAGAGAGAGAAAGCGAAAGCAAGCTGCCAGGCCTGGGACTTGAACCACATTTGGCCATGTGGGAGTCCAGAGCCTCAACCACCATACCACCTGCTGGCCCCTTGAAGAAAGCATTTTAAAATCAAGCTAATGACTGGAAAATGTTTTGTGATTCTTGCATCTTTTGTAAACACTGAATCAAAATCCTATAAGATACATAATGCCCAAGAGAACAGATGATATATTTTAACTATACTGATCAGGTGATTCAAGTCATTAGCCCTTGATGGGTGAACCATTCAAAAATCTGATAGAAATGATCATTTGTTTTACTGGACAGACTAATCAGTGAATTAAAATACAGAACCAGGTTCTTTGCTATAGCAATCTTAATTAAAACTAATTTCCTGCCTACTCACAGTAATCCATAAGAAAGCCAAAAAGTCTTGCTTACACTGCAAGTCAAGATGAAAAACTGTTAGTCATCAAAAATAATTCCCCTTGGTTACCAGCAGATGGCGGAATGGTTACGCCACTGGATGCTCACATAGTTAACTGCAGTTCAAGTTCCAGACCTGATGACTTAAAACTCACGCCAGGCACATGTGAGTGTATGTCCAAAACCTGAAGAGGAGAATGGAGAAGGGACTGCAGCATGGCTATTCCCCTGGGGGATGATTTCTCGCTTTCTGTCTTTCTGTCTGTGTCTGTCTCTCTGGAGAGCACATGCGCCCTATAGCAAAAATCTCTCTTAAAAAATAATTTTAAAAATAGTAATTCCTCTCACATAAAACATCACAGAGCATGTGAGAATCCCTTGTCCATAAATTACACAGCATTCACCAAGCTCGTGTAAACACAGTCAGCTGCTAGCCACTTAACACATAACTGTTGAGGGCTTAAAACGTGGCTAGCCTAAACTGAGATGCGTGACAAGTGTAACACACTCACTGGATTTTAAAGACTTAAGTTTTAAAAGAAGGCTGTAATATATCTCATTAGTAATTTTTTTGCCACAGGGAGGCACCACCATGTCCAGTAATTATTTTATGATTATTTTACATTTAAACTCTTTTTTAAGGTTTTTGCCACAATGCACATGTGCTCACCAGAGAGACAGAGAAAGAGAAAGTGAGATTGATTGCCACACTGCAATCCCTCCTCCATTCTCCTCTCGGGATCTTAGGGGCACATACATGCATCTGGCATGATTTTCCAGCTGCCTGGTCCAGAGCTTGAACTACAGTCAGCCAGTTGGGAATCTGGCACCTTAACCACTACACCACCAGCTGGCTTTTGCTTAAATAAGATTTTTACATGCATCAGTTAAATAAAATATGCTATTACAATTCATTTCACCTGTTTATTATTACTTTTTAAATGTGAATACTATAAAATGCAAAATTATAAATGTGGTTTACATTTCAGACTCTTGTTATATTTTTACTGGGCAGTGTTGGTCTAAACAGTCACCAAAGAAAGAGCCAAACCTTAGTGCCACGTCCATTTCCTCAGCCTGGAGCACAGCACCCAGAACAGGCTGGACCCAGATGGCATCGCCAACCCTCACACCTACATTTTTCTGGGCCACTTCACTCAGGCCAACCTTGCCTACTGGAAATCCTGCCATAGGCCAAGCTGTATAGACCTGCACAGAAAGAGGAAGGAAAAATATAACAAATAAATGTTCATAGAATATCATCAATTCACAGGCAGAAAGCAAAACCAAGTATATAGATCTGCACAGCACATTCCTTATCCCAAAGGAGTAATAATTGAACACAAGCTGCAATAAAATCAATTACATTCCTAAAAAGAAAGAAAAATTACTACATGAGTTCACAAAAACATAATTTTTTTTTCGAGAGAGAGAGTTTTACTATAGGGCACATGTGCTCATCAGAAAGACAGAGAGACAGAAAGTGAGCTATCACCCCCGCCCCCAAGGAGGGATGGCAATCCCTTGTCCTCCATTCTCCTCTTGGGATTTTGGGCACACACGCACACGCACCCAGTGTGGGTTTTAAAATGCCGGGTCCGGGACTCAAACCACGGTCAACTACATGGGAGTCCAGTGACAGAACCATTACGTCATCTGCCAGTCACAAAACATAAATTATTAAAATAAATACTACAACTTTTTATGAAGACCCAGAATAAGCCCACGGTGAAAATGGCAGAAGATCTGAGAGGTGGATTTGAAAAAAATGACATAGGCAATAAAAGAAGAAAATGAGATAAATATTAAAGATCGTTTATAAAACAATTCAGTCTGAAAGTTAACTATCTCCTGGAAGTAGTGAGGGACATGACGCAAGAGCTCTGTCAGGACCTGGACCTCATCATAATTAAAGGTCCTGGAACAGTGGCCAGCTCGGAGTCTGAGCTATGATGAACAGCAGCAAGGAGGAAAATACCTGAAAACAGGGAGGGTAATCAAATACTCGTAGGCAGAACAGGCAACCTTCTTATTCCAAAATAACATTTCTATAGAGAAATATAACTGAGGTGGAGAAACAGAGCTAATAGTGTATGTGTCACTACCTCCTGAGGAAAGACCACTTCTGTTCAGGGACTGGTATTCCCAGTATAGCCCTAGACATCAAAAAAAGAGTTTAAATACATATGAATGTCTGTTTTAAAGTTTATTTCTTCCATAAGCAAGAAACAGACAGACAGCACCATCAACAAGGTCCTAATGCCATGATCACCCCTCTTTTAGCCGGCATTACATGCTTGTGTGTGCCCGAGGTAGTCAAGTGGGTCTCTGGACTTGAACAAAGAACCTTCTAATTCAAGGAGGTCTCCAGACTTGAAGCAGGAATTTTCCCAAGTGGGAACCCCTCACACAGCATTGTTTTACTGCAGTACCACCATCTGGCCATGAATGTGTTTTAAAATAGTTTTTCATTTATTCCGGCCTGTGTTAAAACTAAAATCAGAAATAGCACAAATATTAGGTTGTCGGAAGACTTTCCTGACGACCAAATATTTCTAAACTAAGGAAATGGAACTGGATCCTTACCTCTTGCTTTCCATCCAAACTGGTGAGCAACACTGGTCGTCCTATACATATATTTGCAGACTTCATAGTGTTGAGTCCAAGATGAACAAGAGAATTCTGAAATGCTTTAGGAATCTTGTCATCTACAATGAAGAAAGAGAAATTTATTTTTGTACTATATCATAACTAAAAGCATGTTTTTCTTTGTAGTAAATAAAAATGATCTACCCACTGATCACATGAATGTACTTACAGACCCTAGAGAAACCACTGTTTGACCTTCTTTTTCATCAAACATTTTAAATCAAACTCTTTTTGAGGGTCTACTGAACAATACCTGAGTATCAACTAAAAAGAGGAAGTTTCAAGGGTTATTAGTTTTTATCATTTATTTTAAGTCTCTGAGTTCATTACAAACTAAACATACTTGCCAGAGAGTGTCTGAGCTTTTTGCAGTACAGATTCTAAGTTGAGTCAGCTACCAATATCAAAGGTTGAACTGGGAACCAGCACCTCTACCTGGAGCTAGAGGATTCCACTTCTGACCCACATGGTAGCTATCAGATCTTCTTTTCTATTGCCAAGAATATATGAATAAGACAGTAACAAGTTTTACCCCTTAGAGGAACATACTTGCCATGACTGAAATCATAAGTGATTTCACCTTTTGGCTGAGACAGGGCCCAGGATTCAACCTAGCAGACAACAGCTCTGAAAATCTGCCCACATCACCACTCCTTCATACCAACATGTCTACTCCTCCATACCCTCCACAACGAGCTCCACATTCAGTTGTCCCACCTGTGACTCACCAACACCCTGTGCTGCCAGACATAGCATTTGTCATCCTAAGAATTCATTTGTTTAACAATCTTTCTCCTAAACTATTCTGTTTGGGGACACGAATTGGATCACATTTATCTTCAGATCTTCAATGGCTAAGAGTACATCAAATATAACAGTTGCACAATAAATATTCATGAAATGAATGAATGTAGATGAGTGAACAGTATTTTTCTTCAACATAAAATCCATGAAACACATGGAATTTCAACCTGCAACAAACATGATATTGAGACCTGCATACCGTAATCATAGGGCTCTGCCTAGTATGAGTGTTCATTAATAATCAGAAAAACATGATAGAGGAGCCAGTGGGTGGCGTGGTGATTAAGGACACTGGACTCCCACATGGCTGACCACAGTTTGAGTCCCGAACCTGGGTGGCTTGCTTTCTCACTTTCTCTCTCTGTGTCCCTCTCTGGTCAAATTAAAATAAAATAAATGAATAAATAAAGTTAAATTTAAAAATTATTTTTAAAAATAGATCTTTTGTAATGAAAAAATAATAATAAAATCAATGAGAGCAAAACCATGAGGGATGTCGAGTTAACATTATTCCCTGCCACTACAAAATAATTTGCAAACGGGTTTATTTTCCTTCTGTCATAAAAGGAGCAATCTCACACAACTACAGTGAGCTGTACTGAGTACGATGAAATAAGCACACTGGACAGTATGAGGAGCTGAACAGAAAGGCAACCGCCCTATGAGCATGAAAGCTCTTACTAGTCTGCCATCAGTAACAGTAAAGCATCCTGCTGTTAGGTGACCTCGTCATGTCCAGTTCCTGTCACTTCTTTCTAAACCCCAGTGAACTCTTCCTCGTGACATTTATCTCAGTTTTATTTGGTCTTCCACACGATTCTAGGTTATCTTCTTTGCTTCCTTCCAACCTATCCTGCACATTCACTATGTCCCAGGACTTGACACAACACAGCCTTCCGTAACCAGCACACCCCCCCCATCAATGGAGATCATGTTCAACTCTCACCCACTAGTCTCATTTACCCAGTGCATCACCACTGGATCCTCTGCTTACATGATCCAAATCTACTCAAGCTGTCCACACAATTCCCTAGTACTCTAGTACTTTCTCACTGGCTACATTCACATTTTATTGAGCACCATAAGTGTCAGATTTACTACTGAGATAGTAAAGTTAATTTCGATCAGCCACTCTCATCTATTCATTCAGCAAATTTGCACTACGTGCCTACTATATGACAGATCCTAAGCTAGGCACTTTGGTTCACCAGTCCTTGGCCTCACAAAGTTTATAAGCTAGTAGGATAAGAAAGTTATCAAATAATCACTGAATAACCATAAAATTATAAACCGAGAGTAATATAATGAAAGAACAAAGAGTGCTAGGAGTGCTAATTTGGAAGAATCAAAACAATTCTTCTCAAAAGGAAGTAAAAATGTTAAAATTCAGATCTAGGTCCAGCCCATGGTGTTAGGGGGACTGGATCCCACATGGCCAACGATGTGGTTTAAGTCCTGGATCCAGTGCCCAGAAAGACACAACGGGCATGTGTGCCTACGTACACAAATTCCCGAAGCAAGGGAGAAATGGAGAAGAGATTGCAGCACGGTCATTACCCAAGGAGGGTGCTTTCTCACTATCCCTTCTTTCTCTCCAGTGAGCGCATGCACCCTCTGGCAAGATTTTTTTTAAAGAAAAAAAAATCAGATCTAAAGGAAGCATAGGAAATGACAAAATGAAAGGGAAAAAAATCAGCAAAGAGAACATGAAGAGGCAGAAGGGGGTACAGTGTGGCACTCTCAGGAGATACAGGCAGAGCAGTGCAAAGGCAGCCACATGAGGAAGGGCAAGACCGACCAGGCAGTAGGCAGTATGAGTATATCCCCATCAGCAATAGGAGCGATGAGGTATGAGAAGCAGGCTCACAACAGGATCTTCATTTTAAATGATCATTCTGGAGTGGAATGGAATAAGGAGACAAAACTGGAACAGGAAACCAGTGAAAAGTCTAATGTAGCAGTCTGAGTTGAGAGAGAATGTCTGAGAGCAAGGTGGAAACAGTGGGAACAGTGGAAAAAGAAATGTGCAAAGTATTTAAGTGATTAAAAAGGACCTGGTAAGGGACTGAATGTGTGAAATGTGAGAGAGACGTGTCATGGATGACTCCTACGTTTCCAAATTTTCCAATGGAACACACAACAGACCAAAAGTTTGTTTTGCTGGAGGAAACATGAGCTCACGAGGTCCATCTTGAAGCACCCTTGAAAAACTCGAGACAAGTGGTATCATACAGTGCTATTCAAAACGTGGTTCACAAACCATCTCTCACTTGTTCATGGCAAGGAAGGCACACAAAATGAGAGTTTAGAAACCTTTATTGGAATTAACAGAGTGATTATACATCTGTTGAATCTAATGTTTTGTTTTTGAGCTTATTTGTAATTCCTCCTTATTGTATTTTACAAACATGCCAATCTATGACCTACTGTACATTTTAAAACCTGCACCACAGAAAGTGTGAGACAAACTGGTCTAAAAGACAACTAAATCAAGACTCAAAAATAGCATGAATTACAAATATAAATCTGAAGATGAAAAGGATGGGAACCAACTGGCAGAGGATGAACTTGCCAAAGAGAGAAGACTTATAGAAAGAAAAAAAGGGTGCAGGACTAAGAATTGAAGAACTTCGACAATTATCGGTCAGGTGAAAGAGGATCAATCTGCATAAGAAATTAAGTACCAACAAAGATGGAGAAAAACTCAGAAAGTTTGATAGCACATAAGAAGTAGTTTTAGAAGGAGGAATTGGTACACAATGCCAAAAGCTGAGGTCAAGTAAGGTAAGTAATGAAAATCCATGCATGGATTAATTAACATGGAGATGTCTGGCGACGATGGCAGAGAAAATTTCTATATATGAGAAGAAACAAAATCTCCATTGAAAAAGGGTAGCAAAGAAAGCGGGGAGACAGGGTGATGGTAGAAAAAGGTGGAGCTTTGTTTTCATTCAAGATGGAAGAGAAATGAGCATGTTGAAATGTCAATGGAAATGGGCAACACTCTATAGCACAGTCAAGCGTGGTGGACAAGCACTGGAAGTTGCAAGCCAGATTTCACTTGACCAACCATGCTTTGAATCCTGACCTCATGGCTTGAGGAACTCGTATGGTGCATGCACAAACATCCAAAACCCTAAGAGTGATCAAAGAAAAAGGGTTTGGGGTGTGATCGCACCCCAATGAGAGTGTTTTCTACACTCTCTCTCTCTGGTAGCACACATAACTCTTTGTCAACTAAAAATCAGGAAGTAAGGACCAGCAGATGGAGTAATGGTTACCTAGCTGGACTCCTACATGGCTGACCACGGTTGAAGTCCCAGACCTGGAGGCTTGAAACTCAGGCTGAGTATGTGTTTGTGTGTTCCCAAAATCTCAGGAGGAGAATGGAGAGGGGACTGCTGCATGGCCATCTCCAGTAGGGGGTGATTTTTCACTTTCCATCTCCGTCTTTGTCTCTCAGCAAGTGCACACACCCTATAGCAAAAATCTCTCCAAAAAAATAAATAAATAAAATCAGTAAATAAACGTCAATGAGAAAGATCCAGTTGAAAAGGATGAATCTGAAAGACAGAATAAGTTGACCCCTGATCCCTAAGGAATAATGAAAAAGCTGTGTTAACTCTAAGCTTGTCTATAGGGTCTGATTATACTAAAAGTCTTGCCACCAGTTGGGTGGAATCCATTTCTAAACGACTTTTCAACTATAAATCCATTCTCTCAATTCAAGAGAGCTGAGATGGAGGACAACGGCTTTGTAATCAAATACACCTGGACTCAAGTAGGGACTCTTAGTATTTGAGTAACCTGGATGAAATCACGTTCACTTTTCTTCCTCTGTGAGATGGGTATTACTACATAGCACCTGACCGCCACAGCTTCTGTGAAGATCAAACGAGATGTGTACAAGACACACCTAGCCTACAGCTAACACTAGTGCGCAATTAACGAGGGTTATTAAATACCAGCACCTGTGCAGTAGGGGAAGCGAACACCACGTTCATTCTTAAAGGCACAGTAAAGACTCTTGGGAAGAACGGACCCACATCCTTACCGACCTGGGTACTCAGTGTTTAGGATAGGTAACCTGTGTTCGCTACCTTTAACAACTTCACAAATACGTCGCTCATCTTAAATAATGCAAAGTGGTTTCAAGTCTATCTTAAAAATTAAAAACAAATTACAACAGGGACGGACGACTTTGACACGGATAATCCATTTCTGCCTAATTCCTCCGGTGCTGGCGCGGCTACACTTCATACCTGTTACACACTTCTTACACACCTAACCTTACACACGTGGGTGCCCCTCTCACACCTGCGCCACGCCCAGCTTTCGAAGGCCTCGGGGCAGCACCGCCGGCCTTCCTCCCCCGGGCTCGCCCCCTGAGCCTCGGTCTCCCTCCCAGAACTCTTTACCCTTTTCTAGAAAGTTGGTGACCACCAGAGTCCCCGGCACTGCTGCGACGTCTGGCCCAGCAGAAGCCGCGGCCCCCGCACGAGGGGAAGCAGCAGAGGACAAGAGCGATCCATTTTCCGCGCTTTGGCTCTGCCGCTTTCGGTTCTTCTTGGAAGACATGATGCGAAGGCGCGTGAAAGCAAAGCAGCAGCAAAGCCGGCTCAACGTGCGCGCTTCACCGAGAGAAAAACTTCCGGAGCAGAGGTCAGCGAGGCTCCGCCCTCTCACCGTAATTCCCCTAGTGGAGCGCAGTTCAGATTTCTACAGGGGCGGATGCCGCGAACGGGACTGTCATTTAGAGTATAAATTGCGGAAAGAACTTTTTTTTTAATGTCCACTCGCCTTCCCCACCCTTGAACAGGTGTCTGTCGAATTAAACTAGCAAACAAACCAACAGGGTGAGACAGTTTCTCCCCACTTTCCTGGAGCCTGGGAAATTGCTGAGCGGAACTGTTAGAACTTCGTGGTCTCCTTACTGCAGCTCTTGCAGAGTGTCACCTCAGCTCAACTCTGAGAAGGCATAGGTGACACTCTCCTAGAACTTACGGTATCGAGGTCAGCTGGGGAGCCCGGCGCCGGGGGTCTTGGGCGGAGCTGGTAAACCGGCGGAGATGCTGCCACTTCGCGGCCAGGGCTGCTCGCGCGTGGTGCTGGCCCGGATCCTCCGGCCCAGGCTTTCTGCGGTGCCCCGCGGGAGCTCCGGCGGCCCGGGCTGCGCGTGGGATCCCCCTCCTGGAGCTGGCGAACTGCAAGGCGAGCCGGACAGGTTCGGGGGCATCTCGGTGCGCCTGTCGCGGCTCCGCCCCGCGCGGCCACCCTGGCCCG